GAATCTATCTCATAGAAAACATATTTTGAACCATTATAAATTTAAATGTCTCTGTTTTGGAAAAAATCCAAAAAAATAAATGAAGACTTATAAAGAAATAAAAGCTTAAAGTAGTAGTTTAATGATGATGTGATAAGAAATCAAAATTTAAGACTTTTATGATACTACTTGAGCTTATCAGCACATGACCAAAATGAAATCCAAAATCACGTATTTAAAGGACAAACTTAGGGTTAAAGTTCCTTGAGGGGGAGCCGAAAGTATCTATATGAATTTTGAATAAAAGTTGTTCGAATATCTGAAAATCAATTCTTCAGATTAGAGAAACAAAATTTCAAAAAAATAAATCATTGACATATTTTCTTGATTGGACAGTTCAAAACGAAAGACAGAGAATTATAGCAATACATTTTTGCATAAAAATAATCATGCATAGTTCTGCCAATACTTAGATAGGGGTGCATATATTTTAAAAGAAGACAGAGAGAGAGAGAGATGGAGTGTAGCGGCTGATGAGAAGTAGGTTTTAGGAGGTTTTGTTTTGAGAAATCTAATATAACCTAATTCTAAAAAGCTTCGATGTTTAACTTTCGATAAATTTTTAGCTGCGTTTTGGAAAAAAGAAAATGGGCCAATTGACTGAATAGTTTAGAACTGTTTTAACCAAATTTTGTCATTTTTTTCTTAATATTAATTCGTTTGAGCTTCTAATTTAATACCTTGTATATTATATAAAAAGTTTCATATGTAAGAAATTTGAAATAAAGCAACAATAGTCTTTTTAAAGAAAACAACAATAAGTAATAATAGTAATGTTGAGAATGAAAAATATAATTTTAAAAATTAATGAAAATAAAGATAAAATGATTATAATTATAAGAATTAAAAGTTAGAGTAACAAATATAACAGGGAAAATGTTAGAATATGCGCAATGTAAGTCTTATTCAAATCACAAACATAAATAATATCAAAATAATGTAAATTGCACTCCTCAATTAATTTTCATTTTTTACCATTACACATATCAAACTTTTCGAAAAATATGATTGATTAGGATAAAGAGTTTAATTTTGTAACTATTGTTGATGTTTAATAATGAATACAAAGTTGTATTTTATGTCCTCGGGTTGGTTAAATAGATTAAGAGTTGGTGTAATGTAGCAAAATCATTAAAATGTTTCCTACGTAGAAATATACATCAAAAAAATATGCATGGTTATAAACCTACTTAACTCAAAAGGAAGATGGTAGATGAAAAGGAATTTGTTGTACAGTGTCATAGATGAATCAAATGGAGATATATACCTACAAACGAGAGATATGAAAAAATAACAGCACACATATTGAAACATCCCCCCTTATATGAAGGCTCTAATGAGAGACATATATATATGTTTGGACGATACACATGATGTCACTTAAAAAGAAACAAAATTGTTGGCTTTTGATAGGCCTAGTATTCCACCATTAGCTTTCAAGTTGATTGACATCGTGTGTATCATCAGATCATATATTAGCACACCACTCATGAGTTTCTTCACAATAGAAAGGATGTTCTAGCGTGTGTATTCTTGTCTTTTCATATATCACCTTTGCAGGTACGTATATTCATTTAAAACATATACCACACAACATAGTGAATTCCTCTTAATCTACCACTTGCTTTTGTAGGTTTGCAGGTTCAATATCATGTACATTATTTTGATCAATCTTTATAGAGGTGAAAACTCCATTCATATATCAACCCGAGGACAAAAAATATAATTTGTATTCATTAGGACACATTATCGACAATTAAAAAAGGCATAAGATAAAAAAGTCTATTTTCCTATCTAATCCTATATCTCAATAAAATTTATATGTGTTTATAATAAAAGTAGAACCGATATATTCATATATTATAAGAGCTTATAACGTAAAATTCGCTAACAGATCCCACAAATCCTAAATTCTAATAGATCCCGTAACTCCTAAATTCAGACAGATATCAACAAAAATTAAAAATTCATAATAAATCTAACATTTTTTCTTGAAAACGAACTAGGCAATACCGCATGCTTCGGATCTATCTCCTCAAGAACAGATTTCAAACCATAATAAATTTAAATGTCTCTATTATGCACGCAAACCAACAAACAAAAAATGAAGACTTAAAATGAACTAAGAGCTTAAAGTAGTAGTTTAATTATTATCTTATAAGATATCAAAATTTAAGACTTTCATAATACTGCTTGTTCATATCAGAACATGTCCAAAATGAACTCCAAACTAAAGTATTTAAAGGACAACTTAGGGTTAGAGTTCCTTGAGTGGGAATCGAAAGTATCTATTTGAATTTTAAGAAAAATTGTTCGAATATCTGAAAATTTATTCTTTAGATTAGATACACAAAATCTAAAAAAAATTAATTTTCATCTTTTCTTGATTGGCCAGTTCAAAAACAAAAGATAGAGAATCATAGCAAGACGTTTTTGCATAAAATGATCATGCATAGTCCTACCAATACTGAGATAGGGGTGGACATATTTTCAAAGAAGACATGAAAAGAGATGGAGGGTAGCGACTGATGGGAAGTAGGTTTTAGGAGGTTTTGTTTTGAGAAATCTAATATAACCTAATTCTAAGGGGCTTCTATGTTTTGGGCCTATCTTTGGACAAATTTTGAGCTGTGTTTTGGAAAAAAGAAAATGGGCCAATTGACCGAATAGTTTAGAACTATTTTGACCGAATTTGAGATTTTTTCTCCTTTATATTAGTTTGTTTCAGCTTCTAATTTAATACCTTGTATATTATATAAGAAGTTTCATATGTAAGAAATTTGAAATAAAGCAACAATAATCTTTTTTTAAAAAAACAACAATAAGTAATAATAGTAATGTTGAGAATGAAAAATATAATTTTAAAAATTAATGAAAATGATGATAATTATAAGAATTATAAAGTTAGAGTAACAATTATAACAGGGAAAACGTTAGAATATGCGCAATACAAGCCTTATTCAAATCACAAACATATATAATAACATAATAATGTAAATTGCACTCCTCAATTAATTTTCATTTTTAACCATTACACATATCAAACTATTAGAAATATATGATCGAATAGGATAAAGAGTTTAATTTTGTAACTATCGTTGAACTTTCATAATGAGTACAAGTTGTATTTTATGTCCTCGGGTTGGTCAATTACATTAAGAGCTGGTTGAATGGAGCAAATTCATTAAAATGTTTCCCCCCAGAAAGATACATTAAAACTATATGCATGGTTATAAACCTACTAATCTCAAAAGGAAGATGGTAGATGAAAAGGAATTTGCTGTGCAGTGTGATAGATGATTCAAATGGAGGTACATACCTACAATGCAGAGGTATGAAAAAATAACAGCACATATATTGGAACATCCCTTCTTATATGAAGTGCTTTCATGAGATACATCTATATATGATTGGACGATACACATGATATCACTCAAAAAGAATGAAAATTGTGGGCTTTTGATAAGCCTAGTATTCCACAATTAACTTTCAGGTTGAATGACATCATGTGTATCATCAGATGATATATTAGCACACCACTCATGAGTTTCTTCACAATAGAAGGGATGTTCCAGCGTGTGTATCCTTCTCTTTTCATATATCGCCTTTGCAGGTACGTATACTAATTTGAAACATCTACCACACAGCATAGTGAATTCCTCTAAAACTACCACTTGTTTTTGTAGGTTTGCATGTTCAATATCATGCATATTATTTTGATCTATCTTTCTAGGGGTGAAAACTCCATTCATAAAACTCTTATTCTAATCAATCAGCACGAGGACAAAAAATATAGTTTGTATTCATTAGGGAACTCCACTGACAATTAAAAAAGGTACAACATAAAAAAGTCTATTATCTTATTTAATCATATGTCTCAATAAAATTTATATGTGCTTATAATAAAAGTAGAACTGATATAAACATATAATAAGAGTTTACAATGTATCATTAGCTAACAGATCCCATAGCTCCTAAATTCTAACAGATCCTGTAGCTTTTAAATTCAGATAGATTTCTATAAAAATTTAAGAACTCATAATAAATCTAACTTTTTTTCTTGGCAGTGAACTAGGCAGTACCAGCAAATCTTGGATCTATCTCATTAAGAATATATTTTGAACCATAATAAATTTAAATTTCTCTATTATGTACACAATTCAACAAAAACTAAATGAAGACTTAGGGTTAGAGTTCGTTGAGTGGAAATCGAAAGTATCTATTTAAAATTTGAATAAAAATTGTTCGAATATCTTAAAATCAATTCGCCAGATTAGAGAAACAAAATCTCCGAAAAAAATCATTGTAATCTTTTCTTGATTGGCCAGTTCAAAACTAAAGATAGACGATTATAGCAATACATTTTTGCATAAAAATAATTGTGCATAGTCCTGCCAATACTGAGATAGGGGTGGATATATTTTCAAAGAAGACAGAGAGAGAGATGGAGTGTAGCGGCTGATGAGAATTAGGTTTTAGGAGGTTTTGCTTTGAGAAATCAAATATAACCTAATTCTAATGGGCTTCTATGTTTTAGGCCTAACTTTCGACAAATTTTGAGTTGCATTTTGGAAAAAAGAAGATGGGCCAATTGACCGAATAGTTTAGAACTCTTTTGGTTGAATTTTGTCATTTTTTCCTTTATATTAATTCGTTTAAGCTTCTTATTTAAAACCTTGTATATTATATAAAAAATTAATATGTAAGAAATTTGAAATAAAGCAACAACAATCTTTTTAAAGAAAACAACAATAAGTAATAAAAGTAATGTTGAGAATGAAAAATATAATTTTAAAAATTAATGAAAATAATGATAAAATGAAGATAATTATAAGAATTATACAGTTAGAGTAACAATTATAACAGGGAAAATGTTAGAATATGCGCAATGTACGCCTTATTCAAATCACAAACATATAAAATAGAATTAAAATGAAATTACACTCCTCAATTAATTTTTATTTTTAACCATCAAAACCTATCAAAGTATTTGAAATATATGATTGAATAGGATAAAGAGTTTAATTTTGTAACCATCGTTGAAGTTTCATAATGAATACAAGTTTTATTTTATGTCCTCGGGTTAGTCAATTACATTAAAAGTTGGTTGAATGGAGCAAAATCATTAAAATGTTTCCCCCCTAGAAAGATAAATCAAGCAATATGCATGGTTATGAACATAATAATCTCAAAAGAAAGATGGTAGATGAAAAGAAATTTGTTGTGCAGTGTCATAGATGATTCAAATGGAGGTACATACCAACAAAGGAGAGGTATGAAAAATTAACAGCACATTTATTAGATCATCCCTTCTTATATGAAGGCTCTCATTAGAGACATCTATATATGATTGGACGATACACATGAGATCACTCAAAAAGAAAGAAAATTGTGGGCTTTTGATAAGCCCAGTATTCCACAATTAGGTTTCAAGTTGAATGACATCATGTGTAATATCAGATGATATATTAGAACGCCACTCATGAGTGTCTTCACAACAAAAGGTATGTTCCAACATATGTACCCTTATCTTTTCATATACCACTTTTGCAAGATGGTATCCTCCTTTGAAACATATACCACATAACACAATGAATTCGTCTTGATCTACCACTTGTTTTTGTAGGTTTGCAGGTTCAATATCATGCATATTATTTTGGTCTATCTTTCTAGGAGTGAAAACTCCTATGACCAAACTCTTATTGCAATTAATCAACCCGAGGACAAAAAATATAATTTGTATTCAATAGGAAATTCCGCCGACAATTAAAAGTGACACAACATAAAAAAGTCTATTATCCTATTTAATCATATATCTTGATAAAATAAATGTGTTTATAATAAAAGTAGAACCGATATATAAATATATTATAAGAGTTTATAACGTAGCATTAGCTAAAAGATCTCATAGCTCCTAAATCCTAACAGATCCCATAGCTCCTAAATTCTAACACATCCTGTAGCTCCTAAATTCAGACAGATTTCTACAAAATTTAAGAATTCATAATAAATCTAACCATTTCTCTTGGCAGTGAACTACACAGTACCACCAAAGCTTCAGATCTATCTCCTCCAGAACAAATTTAAAACTATAATAATTTGGATGTCTCTGTTATGGACATAAACCAACAAAAATAGAATGAAGACTTGTAAAGATATAGAAGCTTAATGTAGTAGTTTAATCATGAAAGTGTACATAGGTGTGATAAGATATCAAAATTTAAGACTTTCATGATACTACTTGTGCATATCAGAACATGTCCAAAATGAAATCCAAACTCTAGTATTTTAAGGACAAACTTAGGGTTAGAGTTACTTGAACCGGAATTGAATGTATCTATTTGAATTTTGAATAAAAGTTGTTCGAATATCTAAAAATCGATTCTTCATATAAGAGAAACAAAATCTCAAAAAAAAATAATCATTTTCATCTTGTCTTTATTGGCCAGTTCAAAACAAAAGATAGAGGATCATAGCAACACATTTTTGCATAAAAATAATCATGTATAGCCCTGCCAATACTGAGATAGGGGTGACCATATTTCAAAGAAGACAGGGAGAGATGGAGTGTAGCGGCTGATGAGAAGTAGGTTTTAGGAGGTTTTGTTTTGAGAAATCTAATATAACCTAATACTAAAGGGCTTCTAGGTATTGGAATTAACTTTGGACAACTTTTGGGCTGCGTTTTGGAACAAAGAAGATGAGCCAATTGACCGAATAGTTTAAAACTTTTTTGGTCAAATTTTGTCATTTTTTTCCTTTATGTTAATTAATTTGAGCTTCTAATTTAGTACCTTTTATATTATATAAAATGTTTCAAATGTACGAAATTTGAAATAAAGCAACAATGATCTTTATAAAGAAAAAAACAATAGGTAATAATAGTAATGTTGAGAATGAAAAATATAATTTAAAATTAATGAAAATAATGATAAAATGATGATAATTATAAAAATTATAAAGTTAGAGTAACAACTATGTGCAATGGAGGCTTTATTTAAGATCACAAACATATATAATAACATAATAATGTAAATTGCACTACTCTATTTGATTTTAATGTTTACCACTACACAAATCAAACTTTTGAAATATATGATAGAATAGGATAAAGATTTTTATTTTATAAATATCGTTAAAGTTTCATAATGAATACAAGTACTTTATGTCCTTGGGTTGGTCAATTACACTAACAGTTGGCTGGATGGAGCAAAATCATATACATATTTCCTCCCCCTAGAAAGATACATCAAAACAATATGCATGATTATAAACCTGCTAAACTCAAAAGTAAGATGGTAAATGAAAAGGAATTTGTTAAGAAGTGTGTTAGATGATTCTAATGGAGGTACATACCTACAAAGGAGAGGTATGAAAAAATAACAACACATATATTGGAACATCTCTTCTTATATGAAAGCTCTAATGAGCGACATCTATATATGATTGGACGATACACATGATGTTTCTCAAAAATAAAGAAAATTGTGGGCTTTTAATAAGCCCAATATTCCACATTTATCTTTCAAGTTGAATGACATCATGTGTCTCATCACATGATATATTAGCACGACATTTATCAGTTTCTCCAAAACATAAGGATGTTCTAGCATGTGTACACTTATCTTTTCATATATCACCTTTATAGGTACGCAACCTCATTTGAAACATCTATCACACAACACAATGAATTCCTCTTAATCTACCATTTTTTTGTAGGTTTGCAGGTTCAATATCATGCATATTAATTTGGTCTATATTTCTAAGGCTGAAGACTCCATTCACCAAACTCTTATTCTAATAAATCAACCCGGGGACAAAAAATATAATTTGTATTCATTAGGGAACTCCACTGAAAACTGAAAAAGACACAACATAAAAAAGTCAACTATCCTATTTAATAATATATCTCTATAAAATTATATGTGTTTATAATAAAAGTAGAATCGATATATACATATATTATAAGAGTTTATAACGTCACATTAGCTAATAGATCTCATAGCTTCTATATTCTAACAGATCCCGTAGAACCTAAATTCAGATAGATTTTTACAAAAAGTTAAGAATTCGTAATAAATTTAACTTTTTTTATTGGGAGTGAACTAGGCAGTACCAGCAAAGCTTCGGAACTATTTCCTCAAGAACAGATTTTGAACCATACTAAATCTAAATGTCTCTTTTATGGACACAAATCAACAAAAACTAAATGAAGACCTATAAAGATATAGAAGCTTAAAGTAGTCGTTAATGATGAAAGTGTACGTCGTGTGTGATAAGATATCAAAATTTAAGACTTTCATGATACTACTTGTGCATATAAGAACATGCCTTAAATGAAATCCAAACTCTAGTATTTAATGGAGAAACTTAGGGTTAGATTTCCTCGAGCGGGATTCGAAAATATCTATCTAAATTTTGAATAAAACATGTTTGAATATCTGAAAATTGATTCTTCTTATTAGAGTAACAAAATCTCAAGAAAATTCATTTTCATCTTGTCTTCATTGTCCAGTTTAAAACGAAAGATAGAGGATCATAGCAACACATTTTTGCATAAAAATAATCATGCATAGCTTTGCCAAATTTGAGATAGGGGTGGACATTTCACATCCAGAAACTACAACCTAGAATTTAGGGTTCAATCTTTTATTGCAACTGCGTATTTGACCTCTCGGACGTCTCATACAAGCCCATCATATCATTCATCGCATAAACATAATGAAAAGTAGTGCGAATTAAGACTTTTCATAAAAACGATATAGAAGTCTTAAACTCTTTCATTTATGTAGAAATAGGAAAACACTAAGTCTCGATTCATCATCTTAAGACACGACAATACTTGGGACACGACCCATACGAATTTAAAACATACTACTATACACACTATTAAAAAAGTTTATGAAAGAAAAATAATATGACATATATGCCCTCGAGTCAAGTGAGGACATACTTCAACTTCTTCTTGAACGATCTCCTAGTCCAAGTCTTATTCCGAAAGCTCTTCACCTACAAAGAACTAATAGATAGAAAATAAAGCATGAAATTAGTACAACCATATGTACTTAAGTATGACAATATGCATAAAATCATGAAAACAGACTTGAATTGAAAATATGCTTGTTTTCTTTAAAACATCACAATATCATCATAAAAATAACATTTACCAACATAAAATCACATAAGAAATCACTTAAAACGAATTATTACATTTTTGGACTCACTTTACATAATCTCAATTCATTGTACAGTGAATACCTCACTGTTACAGTGAATCCTTCCAATTTCGTTCCAAATATCTTCTTGCATGTAACCTTCTAAATAAAGCTATCCTAAGATTCACTTAAGTCACACAAAGAGATACCGCCCATAAATCCTCTCTAGATGTGCCTAAACTATCCTAAAGATTACTCATAGTGAGACACATACACACCTACAATACATCGACATACAAGACATATAAAATATGACAGTCTACTCTACCAAGTCTATCAAAAAACTTACTCAAGTACTCCTAGAAGAGAACGCCCATACATTCACTTCAATGCTACCTAAATAATCCTTAAGACTTCCTAGGTTTAAATCATGTCAAAATATCAAGCAACTTACCTAACTAGAGTCATTCTCAAGACTTCCAAAGATAAGACATGAAGAGATCATCCTTTATGCCCTCTTAACACTTTAACTAAGGAATCCTTAAGTCACTTTAGATTAGGTTCTTATACATATGCATACTCTATATCATTAAGTCGTTATTTCATTAGTTTAATTAAGAGACATACATCACATAGATGATATTCAAATAATGGTCTTGGAAAAGGCCTAGGGACTCTTATTAACATCTTCAAATCCTATTGTGCAATGTCTAAGTAGCGTCCTGTACAACCACCTAAACTTCATGTTACTTCTCTTATGCTAATAGGTATCCCATATGATGAGAATATACAATAACTAACATAGACCATGGTAGCAAAGCATGGAATCCGAAGTTCTATCCTTGTTCGATGAGGTGTTCTGCTTGCCAATGGTAGAACATAGAAATCCCATGTAGGCATATGGTTAAGGAATATGAAAGGCGTTCTCTATATTCTAGTCTCATACTTAAGTAGAACTATTTCCCTTTACCATACTCACTTGGTTCTAGCCTTAGTTCTCACAGATCAATTTACATTAAGGTTCATACAAATGGGTCCCATGTCTAGTTCATGACCCAATTACATTTACCCTACCAAAGCAAGGTCCATTAGGGCTATCTCACTATGGTGACAAGAATATCATCATGACTTCCCTAAGGTATGATATGATTCCTTTCCAGCCAATCAAACTTAAGTCCATCATTCATTACATGAAGGATACCATTATGGCTGATTACTTCACGATTCATAATCGTAACTTGGTTCAAGGTTCCACATAAATGACCCTCTTACCATTATTCAAGGTCTCACCTATATTCATTTATTCAATACTAATACCCTTTAGGTTCCTAAGTCAAGACATCACATATTCACATGAGCATCAAGTAAGGGACACTAGTGTACCTAAACAAGACACAACATACTTCAATTTAACACATATATCCTATCTTTATTTAGACAATTAGGAATGACCCTTAGCCTTATTTAATCAACCTATTCATTACCTTAACATTATCAACTTAACCATTTAAAACTCATCTAGCCAATTTAGGAATAACCATGTGTCAACTCTAACACTACACACTTAACACATAGTCAAAGCATAACATGATTTCCTAGATAGTATCAATAGTATAACACATACTTTCACATATAGGTAGATAATATCACACTTCACTAAATCAACTACACAAATAGACATATAAGCTCAAGTAGTGCCGACAAGGCCATGATCATTCATGTACTTAAAATAACACCGACAATGCCACATCAATTCACATAACACCGCCACCAAAGGTAGACCAAACCAATAATATAATAATTGAAGTATAATTAAAATTGAATAACAAGGAATAGGGTAGCGTACCACTACTGCATCATCAACACTTCAAGCCAATACCAAATCACCCAAATTCAACATCACAAGTCCCTTACCCATGGCCATGAACACCAATTCAATACAAAACTATAGAAATCAATGAAATCTAAACTAATTCAACATAGATTCAACATTAGAAGATCAAATTGACAAAAATTGAGTACAATTCTTACACCATTAGAAAGCCCATAGGAAACTACACATGAATTTATCAACATTAGACCAATATCAAGTAAGTCATAAATTAGTCAAAATCTAAGGTTCATCAATTCAATGGGTTCATGGGAAATTTATGTTAAAATCATCAATACAAGATCAATCAAATACATAATAGATGTTTGAAAACCATTAATGCAAGAACCCATGGTAGATCATTTATTTTGAAAACTTTTGAAAACATCTTTGAAAGTTGGGATTCTTGATGAAACGAGTTTCAAGGATCAGAAGTCATACTTAATGAAGCTAATTTTTCAATATGATGAATAATGTCCACTCAAAATGTCACACCAAACTCTTCCTGATTTTGGATTTTAATGGAGTCTTGGGGAATTTCTATGGTATTTTCGGGTATTGATTTTGAAGAATGAAATCTTCTAAGTGTTAAAGTCTTATAAACACTTGTAAAATATCCAAAAGACCCTTATGAAGCCGCTAAACATTCCATTTAGAAATGGGGTGAAATTACAATTTCACCCCTAGAGTTAACTGTGAACTGTACGCAGGACAATTGGCTCCATTGACGGGATAGTCGACGGACCATTTTTCCATAAACGGACCGTCCTGTCCCTTCGTCGATTGGGTCAGAGGCTAGATGTGGTTCCTCAACCTTTCCCAGACTAATTACCAACCTACGGGACCATCGACGGACCGTCCTTTGGTCCGTGGTCTTAGGACAAGGTCTCTCATCAACGGATAACCCATTGACGGAATGTAGGTCTACTTACGGGATTTCTTGTCCTCATCGATAGGTTTAGAGTCTTGGTACAGGTAGATTAGCCACCCAGGATAAATACCTACTCACTCCCATCATCCACGGACCTTCGAACAGCCCACTGGCCGTCGAGTGGCTTCCGTAGGTGAGGCTGCCTTTGGCAGTCTTGTCCTCCGACATGGGTCCTTCCTCAAGAACCCTTTCTTGGTCCTTGGGAATGTTTTCCCGGACGTTTTCAAATCAAACATGAACTTATACGAATTTAAAACACCTCACATGAATTTCACTCAACACGAACACGTAAAACTCGACAAAACATGCCTAGACAAACAAGGTCATTTCTAGGCACATCTTTCGAATGCCATGGATGTACTTGAGTGTTTGACCTCCAAACTTCTCGAAACTTCGCACACTACCTATTCACATCATATTAGAATCATTTAAGACCTCATAACCACATTAGATACGTATAAACACATAGGCCCTCATATGAGACACTTAGGTCACTTAGTCATTGAACGTCTTGGTTGACCCTTAACGTTTGACTTTCAAAGCACCATACTTCAGATATTTCCTCAATAAAAAATTATAGACTTATTAAGGACCTTAGACAAACTTTAAAATAAAATTAGGCTTTAGTTCACCTATGTCATTTTTGGGTCTTACAGACATATTCTCAAAGAAGACAAGGAGAGAGATGGAGTGTAGCGGCTGATGAGAAGTAGGTTTTAGGAGGTTTTATTTGAGAAATCTAATATAACCTTACTCTAAAGGGCTTCTAGGTTTTGGGCCTAATTTTGGAAAAAATTTTGGCTGCGTTTTGGAAACAAGAAGATGAGCTCATACACCGAATAGTTTGAAACTCTGGCCGAATATTGTCATTTTTTCCTTTATACTAATTCGTTTGAGCTTCTAATTTAATACCTTGTATATTATATGAAAAGTTTCATATGTAAGAAATTTGAAATAAAACAAAAACAATCTTTTTTAAAAAAAAACAACAATAAGTAATAATAGTAATGTTGAGAATGAAAAATATAGTTTGAAAATTAATAAAAATAATGATAATTATAAGAATTATAAAGTTAGAGTAAAAATTATAACACGAAAAATGTTAGAATATGCGCAATGGAAGCCGTATTCAAGATCACAAACATATATAATAGCATAATAATGTAAATTGAACTCCTCTATTTAATTTTATTGTTTACACATATCAAACCTTTTGAAATGTATGATTAAATAGGATAAAGATTATCATTTTGTAACTATTGTAAAGTTTCATAATGAATAGAAGTTGTATTTTATATCCTTGGGTCGATCAGTTATATTAAGAGTTGGTTGGATGGAGAAAAATCATTAAAATGTTCCCCCACCCTAGAAAGATACATCAAAACAATATGCATGGTTATGAACCTACTAAACTCAAAAGGAAGATGGTAGATGAAAAGGAATTTGTTGTCTAGTGATATAGATGATTCAAATGGAGGTACATACCTACAAAGTAGTGGTAAGAGAAAATAAAAGTAAATATATTGGAACATCCCTTCTTATATGAAGGCTCTCATTACCAACATTTATATATGATTGGACGTTACATATGATGTCACTCAAAAAGAAAGAAAATTGTGGTATTTTAATAAGCCTAGTATTCCACAATTAGCTTTCAAGTTGAATTACATCATGTGTATTATCACATGATATATTAGCACGCCACTCATGAGTGTCTTCACAACAGAAGGGATGTTCCAGCATTTGTATCCTTATCTTTTCATATATCACCTTTGTAGGTACGTATCCTCATTTGAAAAATCTACAACACTACACAATAAATTCCTCTTAATCTACCATTTGTGTTTGTAGGTTTGCAGGTTCAATATCATGGATATTATTTTTGTTAATCTTTCTAGGGGTGAAAACTCCATTCACCAAACTCTTATTCTAATCAATCAACTCAAGGACGAAAAATATAATTTGTAATCATAAGGGAACTCCACCAACAGTTAAAAAAGACAACATAAAAAAAGTCTATTATCCTATTTAATCATATATCTCAATAAAATTTATATGTGTTTATGACAAAAGTAGAACTCATATATACATATATTATAAGAGTTTATAACCTAACATTAGATAACAGACCACATAGCTTCTAAATTTTAACAGATCCCGTAGCTCCTAAATTCAAACATATTTCTACAAAAATTTAAGAATTCATAATATATCTAACCTTTTATCTTGGCACTTAACTAGGCAGTAGCAGCAAAGCATCATATCTATCTCCTCAAGAATAAACTTCAAACCATAATAAATATAAATGTCTCTATTATGGACACAAACCAACAAAAACAAAATGAAGACTTATAAAGAAATAAAAGCTTAAAGTAGTAATTTAATGATGAATGTGTACGTCGTATGTGATAAAATATCAAAATTTAAGACTTTAATGATACTACTTGAGCATATCAGAACATGTCCAAAAGGAAATCCAAACTCAAGTATTTAGAAGAAAAACATAGGGTTAGAATTCCTTGAGCGGAAATCAAAAGTATATATTTGAATTTTGAATAAAAGTTGTTCGAATATCTAAATATCAATTCTTCAGATTAGAGAAATAAAATCTCAAAAAAAACAGTGTCATCTTTTCTTGATTGGTCAGTTCAAAACGAAAGATAGAGGATCATACCAACACATTTTTGCATGAAAATAATCATGCATAGCCCTTCCAATACTAAGATAGGGGTGGACATATTCTCAACGAAGACAAGGACATAGATGGAGTGTAGCGGCTGATGAGAAGTAGGTTCTAAGAGGTTTTATTTTCAGAAATCTAATATAACATAATTCTAAAGGGCTTCTATGTTTTGGACCAAACTTTAGACAAATTTTGGATTGCGTTTAGAAAAAAAGAAGATGGCCAAATTTACCCAATAGTTTAGAACTCTTTTGGCCGAATTTTGTTAATTTTTTTCCATTACATTAATTTGTTTGAGCTTCTAATTTAATACATTATATATTATATAAAAAGTTTCATGTGTAAGAAATTTAAATTAAATCAATAACAACCTTTTAAAAGAAAACAAGAATATGTATTAATATTAATGTTGAGATTGAAAAATATAAAGTTAGAGTAACAATATAACAGGCAAAATGTTAGAATATGCACAATAGAAGCCTTATCCATATCACAAACGTATATAATAACCTAATAATGTAAATTACACTCCTCTATTTAATTTCATTTTTTTCCACTAAACATATCAAACTTTTTGAAATATATGATTAAATAGGATAAAGAATTTCATCTTGTAACTATCGTTGAAGTTTCATAATGAGTGTAAGTTGTAATTTATGTCCTCGAGTTGATCAATTACATTAAGAGTTGGTTGGATGGAGAAAAATCATTAAAATATTTCCCCCCCTAGAAAGATTCATCAAAACAATATGCATGGTTATGAACCTACTAAACTCAAAAGTAAGATGGTAGATAAAAGGAATTTGTTGTGCAGTGTGATGGATGCTTCAAATAGAGATACATACCTACAAAGGAGAGGTATGAAAAAATAACAACACATATATTGGAACCTCCCTTCTTATATGAAGGCTCTTATGGGCGACATCTATATATGATTGGACGATACACATGATGTAACTCAAAATTAATGAAAATTAAGCGCATTTAATAAGCCTAGTATTCTACAATTAGCTTACAAGTTGAATGACATCATGTGTATTGTCACATGATATATTAGCATGACACTGATGAGTTTCTTCATAATAGACGGGATGTTCCAGCATGTGTGCCCTTATCTTTTCATATATCACCTTTTGAGGTATGTATCCTCATTGGAAACATCTACCATACATCACAATGAATTCCTCTTAAACTACCAATTGTTTTTGTAGGTTTGCAGGTTTAATATCTTGCATATTATTTTGGTTTATGTTTCAAGGAGTGAAAACTTGATTCATCAAGATATTATTCTAACCAATCAACTCAAGGACAAAGAATATAATTTTTATTCATTACAGAACTCCACCGAAAAATAAAAAAGGCACAGCCTATAAAAGTCTATTATCCTACTTAATCATTTATCTCAATAAAATTTATATTTGCTTATAATAAAAGTAGATCCGATATATAAATACATTATAAGAGTTTATAACGTAGCATTAGCATATAGATCCCATAGCTCCTATATTCTAGCAGATCCCGTAACTCTTAAATTCATATATATATCTACAAAAAATTAGGAATTCATGATAAATTAACCTTTTTTCTTATCAATGAACTAGGCAGTACCAGCAAAGCTTCGGAACTATCTCCTCAAGAACAGATTTAGTAGTTTAATGATGAATGTGTACGTCGTGTGTGATAAGATATCAAAATTCAAGACTTTGATGATACTACTCGGGCATATCAGAACAGTTCCAAAATGAAATTGTCACGACCCAAAATGAGCCGTGAGTGGCACCCACACTTACTCTCCTAGGTGAGCGAACCAATAAATCAAAGCCCCAACATTTACCAACAGTTCAACTATAAATAGTGTAAATAATGCGGAAGCTCCAAAAACTCATTAACAAAACCAATTAAATCAACTTCTAAAGTTAAACTCATTATTCCAAAAATCTGGAAGTCATCACACCAAGAACATCTATCCTTGAATTTCTAAAGCTAAGAGTATTTAAAAAGCTAAAAATAGTAAAAAGATGGTCCATGTCCGAACTTCAAGACATCACGACGTGAAAGAGAGAATCCAGCACGAGCTAGGAATAATAGCTTACCCTGAAATGTGATATGTTGAAGACTAGCTAGAGTTGAGGACGAGTCGAAGTCGATGTCACGCTTGCTGCACTCCACAAATAACAAAGAAGAAAATTACAAGTAGGGGTCAGTACAAGGAACACGTACTGAGTAGGTATCATCGGCCAACTCAAAATAGAAAACCATATATACTGAATAATAATATAAAATCAACCATAATAATTAACAGGTGACAATTAACAAGTATAAGAACCCTTGACAACAACACCAAGCACACCTATGAGGACTCAAGCCTCCACACCATACTCATTTGGGAAATAGGTTCTTTGGATTTGAGTATATTAACATAATTCAAGATTCATTCTCTTTATCATTATCGTGTCGGAACGTGACACTCCGATCCCGTAATACTACTGTGTCGGAACGTGACACCCGATCCCCTAATACTACCGTGTCAGAACGTGACATCCGATCCCAAAAAAACTACCGTGTCGGAATGTGACACCCGATCCCCTAATACTACCATGTCGGAATGTGACACCCAATCCCCTAATACTACTGTGTCGGAACGTGACACCCGATCCCCTAATTTTACCGTGTAGGAACGTGACACTCCGATCCACTTATCTCATTATTTTAGTTCATCAAGCATTCTTTATGTCAAGGCATCATCTTAATAGAGAGGATTTAAGATTAAAGATTCAACAATTTCATCATTATGACCACCACAATTACACAATCACAACATACAAACACACAATCAAGCATATAGAAGACTTTACATTACCACCCAATGCATATCAATCACTATTTAGAGTATATCTATCACGTAGAAATAAACCATAACCTACCTCCATCGAAGAATCGTGATCAAGCAAGCTACCTTCCCAATGCCTTTGCTTTCCTCTTCGTTCTCTCTCTCTGTTCTTTTTATTTTTCTTCTCCGGATTCTTTTTCTTTTACCCTAATTATCATATAATCTATTATAAAAGATGATAAAAGTAACCCACTATTTATTCTCTTATTAACTTATTTAACCCCCAAGTAAATAAATTATTAAACTTACCCCATTAATTCCATAATTATAATCATGAATAGTCCTAAATACCCCTTTAAAACTTTTAGCAGAAATCTGACCCAGTCGGGGTTACGTAGCTTGTGATGGTCCGTTGTGTCTACGACGGTCCGTGCTGCAGTTCCGTGGTGCAGTTTAGAGAGTCACTCCCAATATCCACATTTTGAGAGTTGAAGTATTTTGGAACGGAGACGCTTGACGGACCGTCGTTCCTGTGACGGTTCATCCTACCTGTCGTCGAGGGTAATGAGGAGAGCAACAGAAGAAATTACACAAGTATGGGACGAGGGAGTCCATCACGATCCGTCGTGACCATGACGGTCTGTCGCGTGATCCGTCGACCCAGTCAGTTTTTATCAAAAATAGTTCTACTGCTCGAACCGACTAAACAGGTCATTACAATAGATACCAATTTACCCATCGTTTGTCCTCGAACGATCACAAGAAGAAAAGCAAGGGCGAGAAAGAGTACCTGAATCTGTAAAAAGATTTGGATATCTTTCTTGCATATCAGCCTCATTCTCCCAAGTGGACTCTTCAATTGGCCGATTCTTCCACCGAACCTTGATAGATGCAATCTCCTTTGATCTCAACTTTAGGACCTCTCTACCTAAAATAGCAACAGGCTCCTCCTCATAAGACAAGTTCTCATCAAGGAGAACTGAATCCCAACGAATAATGTAGTTTCCATCCCCATTGTATTTTTTCTGCATGGACACATGAAATGCCGGGTGCACTCCTAAGAGTCTTGGAGGCAATGCCAATTCATAAGCCACCTCCCCCACGCGCTTCAGAACTTCAAATGGACCAATATACCTCAGACTAAGCTTACCTCGCTTCCCAAACCGCATCACCCCTTTCATGGGTGAAACCTTCAGCAAGACTTGTTCACCCTCCATAAAATCCAAGTCCCTTACTTTTCGATCTGCATATTCTTTCTGCCTGTTCTGAGCTGCTAGAAGCTTCTCTTTAATGAATTTTACTTTATCTAACGATTCCCTCAAGAGATCGGTACCCCATGGTCTCACCTCAAATGCATCAAACCAACCAATGGGAGACCTACATCTCCTCCCATACAGTGCCTCAAATGGGGCCATATCAATACTTGAGTGATAACTATTATTGTATGAAAACTCCGCTAAGGGTATGAAGTTATCCCAATGACCACCAAATTCTACCACACATGCACGAAGTATATCCTCCAACACCTGAATCATTCGCTAAGACTGACCATCGGTCTGCGGGTGAAAGGCAGTACTAAGATCCAACCTAGTACCTAATTCAGCATGCAATGTTCTCCAAAACATAGAAATAAATTGCGTACCTCTATCTGATATGATGGAAAGTGGAACTCCATGCAATCGAACAATTTCTGAGATATAGAGTTTGGCTAACTTCTCTGCATTGTAAGTCACCTTGACCGGAATGAAGTGAGAAGACTTAGTTAATCTATCAACAATTACCCAAATAGAATCGAACTTACCCAATGTCTTGGGAAGACCAACCACAATATCCATTGCAATTCTTTCCCATTTCCATTCAGGAATGGGCATTTTTCTAGAAGTGTTCTTCCGGGCCTCTAGTGTTCATACTTTACCTGCTGACAATTCGGGCATTGGGTAACAAAATCAACAATGTCACGCTTCATTCTACTCCACCAGAAATGTTGTTTTAGGTCACGATACATCTTGGTTGCCTCAGGATGTATAGAATACCTTTAACTATGAGCCTCTGTAAGAATAGTGTGAATCAAATTATCAACACGGGGCACACATTACCCTTCCCTTAATTCTCAAAACACCTTCCTCATCAATTGTTGCCTCGTTAGCCTCTCCTCGTAATACCATATCTCGAATTCGGCTCAGCTTCTCGTCAGTAAACTGTTTTCCCTTAATCTTGTCAAGAAAACAAGATCTTGCCTCCACACAGGCCAAAAATCCTCCCTTCTCTAGTACTTCCGGCCTCATAAATTCATTAGCCAGAGTCTGAACCTCTCTAGCCAATGGGCACCTAGAAACCTGTAAGTGGGCTAGGTTTCCCATGCTCCCTGCTTTTCTACTTAAAGCGTCTGCCACAACATTAGCTTTTCCTGGGTGATACAAAGTAGTAATATCATAGTCCTTTATTAGTTCCATCCACCTCCTCCACCTCAAATTCAAATCTTTCTGAGTAAAAACATACTGTAAACTATGATGATCTGTATAGACTTCACACTTAACCACCTATAGATAATGTCTCCATTTCTTTAATGCAGACACGACTACAGTCAACTCCAAATCATGGGTCGGATAGTTACGTTCATGTACTTTCAATTGCCTCGAAGCATAAGCAATTACATTTCTCTTTTGCATTAGCACCGCACCCAAACCAGAATAAAATGCATCACAGTAAACATTGAAATTCTTACCTTCCTCAGGCAAGGTTAGAATTGTTGCAGTAGTCAACAAGGTCTTGAGGCTCTGGAAGCTTTCTTCACATTCGTCCGATCATACAAATGGAACATTCTGCTTAGTCAAATTTGTCAATTGGGAAGCGATAGAAGAAAATCCCTTGACAAATCGACGGTAGTAGCTAGCTAAACCAATAAAGCTCCTTACCTCTGTAACATTAGTAGGTCTTAACCAATTCTTCACTCTTTCAATCTTAGATGGATCCACCATCACTACATCCTTGGAAACCACGTGCCCCAAGAAGGACACCGACTCTAGCCAAAACTCACACATGGAGAATTTGGCATAAAGCCTTTTCTCTCTCAACAACTCCAATACAATTTTCAAATGTTCCTAATGTTCTTTCCTACTCTTTGAGTATATCAGTATATCATCAATAAATACAATAACAAAGAGATCCAGATATTGCTTAAAAATTCCGTTCATCAGGCTCATGAATGCAGCAGGGGCATTCGTAAGCCCAAAAGACATTACTAAGAATTCATAATGCCATACCTGGTTCGAAATGCAGTCTTTGGCACATCTGTTGCCTGTATTTTTAATTGATGATAACCAGATCTCAAATCGATTTTTGAAAAGGTACAAGCACCTTGTAACTGATCGAACAAATCATCAATGCGAGGAAGAGGATACTTGTTCTTTATAGTTACCTGATTCAGTAACCTGTAGTTTATGCACATCCGAAAACTTCCATCCTTCTTCTTGACAACTAAAACAGGAGCACCCCAAGGGGATGCACTTGGTCTAATAAAGCCTTTACCTAACAACTCCTAAAGTTTGGCCTTTAACTCCCATAACTCAGCTGGGGCCATTCTATAAGGGGGTATGGAAATGGGGCGAGTACCCGGCTCTAGATCAATACAAAAATCAATATATCTATCTGGTGGCATACCAGGAAGGTTTGCAGGAAACACATCCAGAAACTCACGGACTATCGAAACTGACTCAATCAAAGGTACTTTTGAAGTATCATCCCTGATATGGGCCAAGAAAGCTAAAAAACCTTTACTAACCATCCTGTTACCATTAAGAAAAAAGATAATACGAACTGGGGTGGAAATATAGTCACCCTCCCACACTAGCGGATCTGTCCCAGGCTTGGCAAATGTCACAGTTTTAGCATTACAATCTAAGATTGCAAAATTTGGAGAAATCCAAGTGATACCCAGAATTACATCAAAATCAACCATCTTTAGAATAATCAAATCTACATGAGTATTTCTCCCAACAAAAGCCACAAGACAAGACCTATACACCTTATCAACTATCACAGACTCACCTACAGGAGTAGAGACACGAATAGGCATATCAAGCAATTGACAATGTAAATCAAGACCAGTAGCAAATGAGGAAGATACATATGAAAATGTGGATCTAGGATCAAATAATATAGAAGCCATGCAATCACAAGCCAAAAGATTACCTGTGATAACAGCATCAGATGTCTCTGCTTCAGACCTCCTTGGAAAGGGGAACAATGGGCCCTATCACCTGTCTGCCCGTTGCCCCTACCATGTTGTGCTGCAGTAGTTCTAACTTTCCCGCCATCCCGGCTGATTTGGTGACCACCATTACCTTGTCCACCACGTCCTCCAGAATGGGGGCCTCTCCCATGACCACGTCTACCTCTAATTATTAGGGGTCTGTAACTCTGTTTTGGACAATACCTCCTAATATGTCGAGTCTCTCCACATCCATAACAATCTCTGGAGTCTAGCATAGGTCTCTGTGAGAATGACGAAGTCTGGGGATAACCTCCAAACTCAGAGAAATGTTGACTAGTCTGCGATGGACCCCCAGCTACACCCTGTAGTGAAGACTGAAAAGGTCGGGCTGGGTAACCTCTTAAACTCTACCCTTTGGAGTAAGAACCATTAAAATCACCTCCCGTACGGAACTTCTTAGAGATCGACGCCATGGTGAAGTTGTCTGGATTCACCCCCTCCACCTCTATCACAAAGTCAACCACTTCCTGAAAGGATTTTGCTGCAGCAGCTACCTGTAAGGCTGGGATCTGCAAATCTGACCTCAATCCTTTCACAAAGCGGCGAGTCTGCTCTTGTGGACTGAAGCAAAGCTGGGTGGCATACCTGGATAGCGCACGAAATTTGGCCTCATAAGCGGCAACAGACATCCTTCCTTGCTCTAGTCTTAGGAACTCATCTCTCCTCTTGTCCCTCAATGTACGAGTATGTACTTCTTCATAAATAAGCTAGAGAATGATGCCCTGGTCATAGGTGGTGCCTGTGCTGGTTGACACTCAACATTGGACCGCCACCACATTTTGGCATTCCCCTGAAACTGGTAGGTCACAAACTCAATACCGAATCATTCTACTATGTCCATCTTATGTAGCAGCTCATGAAAATCAACCAAAAAATCATAGGCATCCTCAGATTCAGCACCCTTGAAGACTGGAGGTTTCAACTTTAAGAATTTAATGAAAAGTTCATGTTGATCACTAGTCATTATAGACCCTATTGTCAATCGAGGAAACGTGCCTACTTCCAATGAGGCATCCATGCGGGGAGCCACAGCAGCTTCATGTTGTACTCCCGGAACCTGAGGTGCTGGTACAGGAAACACTGAAAGTGTCTGGCCCCGACCAGATAACCCGCTAAGATAAGTAAGAACCTTGTTAATCATCTCTGGGTAGGCTGGGGTGGTAATTCCTCATCTTGAACCTGCTCATTTTCCCCTTCCTCACCCTCTCTTACTACCTCATCAGTCGGTGGAGGGGTCACCGCCCTATTACTAGCTGGACGAGGTGTTTGTGCTCTACCTCTGAGGACGTCCTCCTGCGACCTCTACCGCGGCCTCTTGCCACTGCTCCTCCTCGAGCTACATCCCCAATGTTTGGCTCAGACGCACCTTATCTTGCCGGTGTTGGTGTTGGCACAGTTGTTGCTCTAGTTCGAACCATCTGCGAAATAGAGTGAGGACGTCAGATACCAATTTGTATCAACTCGATACCAATTGGATCCATGTAATAGCACGAAAGAATGAAAGAATGGAATTTTCCTAAAGTCCTATAGCCTCTCGAAGAAAAGTAAAGGCGTCCCCCTACCGTTCCTCAAGACACTACCAGACTCATTCTTGTGTGATGAGACCAACGAACCTAATGCTCATATACCAAGTTTGTCACGACCCAAAACGAGCCGCGAGTGGCACCTACACTTACTCTCCTAGGTGAGCGAACCAACAAATCTAAACCCCAACATTTACCAACAGTTCAACTATAAATAATGTAAATAATGTGGAAGCTCCAAAAACTCATTAACGAAACCAATTAAATCAACTTCTAAAGTTAAATACTCATTATTCCCAAAATCTGGAAGTCATCACACCAAGAACATCTATCCTCGAATTTTTAAATCTAACAGTATTTAAGAAGCAAAAATTAGTAAAAAGATGGTCCATGTCCGAACTTCAAGACATCAAGATGTGAAGGAGAGAATCGAGCATGATCTAGGAATAATAGCTTACCCTGAAATCTGATGTGCTGAAGACTCACTAGAGTTGAGAACGAGTCGAAGTCGATGCCACGCTTGCTGCACTCCACAAATAACAAAGAAGAAAATTACAAGTAGGGGCCAGTACAAGGAACATGTACTGAGTAGGTATCATCGGCCAACTGAAAATAGGAAACCATATTTACTGAATAATAATATAAAATCAACCATAATACTTAACAGGTGAAAATTAACAAGTATAAGAACCCTTAACAACAACACCAAGCACACCTATGAGGACTCAAGCCTCCACACTATACTCATTTGGGAAATAGGTTCTTTGGATTTGAGTATATTAACATAATTCAAGATTCATTCTCTTTATCATTATCGTGTCGGAACGTGACCCTCCGATCTCCTAATACTACTGTGTCGGAACGTGACACCTGATCCCCTAATACTACCATGTCGGAACGTGACACCCGATCCCCTGATACTATCGTGTCGGAATGTGACACCCGATCCCCTAATTCTACCGTGTCGAAACGTGATACTCCGATCCACTTATCTCATTATTTTAGTTCATCAAGCCTTCTTTATGCCAAGGCGTCATCTTAATAGAGAGGATTTAAGATTAAAGATTCAACGGTCTACTCATTCTGACCACCACAATTACACAATCACAACATACAAACACACAATCAAGCATATAGAAGACTTTACAATACCACCCAATGCATATCGATCACTATTTAGAGTTTATCTATCACGTAGAAATAAACCATAACCTACGTCCACCGAAGAATCGTGATCAAGCAAGCTACCTTCCCAATGCCTTTGCTTTCCTCTTCGTTCTCTCTCTCTGTTCTTTTTATTTTTCTTCTCCAGATTCTTTTTCTTTTACCTTAATTATCATATAATCAATTATAAAAGATGATAAAAGTAACCCACTATTTATTCCCTTATTAACTTCTTTAACCCCCAAGTAAATAAATTATTAAACTTACCCCACTAATTCTATAATTATAATCATGAAAAGTCCAAAACACCCCTTTAAAACTTTTAGAAGAAATCTGACCCAGTCGGGGTTACGCAGCTTGTGACGGTCCGTCGTGTCTACGACGTTCCGTGCTTCAGTTCAGTCACGGAGTTCAGAGAGTCGCTCCAGTATCCAGATTTTCAGAGTTGAAGTGTTTTGGAACGGAGACGCTAGACGGACCGTCGTGCTTGTGACGATTCGTCCTACCTGCCGTCGAGGGTAATGAGGAGAGCAACAGAAGAAATTACACAAGTATGGGACGACAGAGTCCATCACGGTCCGTCGTGACCATGACGGTCTGTCGCGTGATCCGTCGACCCAGTCAGTTTTTATCAAAAATAGTTCTACTGCTCGAACCGACTAAACAGGTCGTTACAAAAATCCAAACTCAAGTATTTAAAGGACAAACTTAGAGTTAGAGTTCCTTGAGAAGGAATCAAAAGTGTCTATTTGAATTTTTGACAAAAGTTGTTCGAATATCTTAAAATCAATTCTTCAAATTAGAGAAACTAAATCTCAAAAAAAAAAAAATCATTGTCATCTTTTCTTGATTGGCTAGTTCAAAAGGAAAGATAGAGGATAATAGAAACACATTTTTGCATAAAAATAATCATGCATAGTCCAACCAATACTGTGATAGGGGTGGACATATTCTCAAAGAAGACAGAGAGAGAGAGATGGAGTGTAGCGGCTGATGAGAAGTAGGTTTTAGGAGGTTTTGTTTTAAGAAATCTAATATAACCTAATTCTAAAGGGCTTCTATTTTTTGGGCCTAACTTTGGACAAATTTTGAGCGGAGTTTTCGGGAAAAAAGATGGGCCAATTGACCGAAAAGTTTAGAACTCTTTTGGTAAAAATATTGTCATTTTTTTCCTTTATAATAATTCGTTTGAGCTTCTAATTTAATACGTTGTATATAATATATAAAGTTTCATATGTAAGAAATTTGAAATAAAGCAACAATAATCTTTTTAAAGAAAACAAGAATAAGTAATAATAGTAATGTTGAGAATGAAAAATATAATTTTAAAAATTAATGAAAATAATGATAAAATAATGATAAAATGGTGATAATTATAAGAATTATAATGTTAGAGTAACAATTATAACAGGGAAAACGTTAGAACATGCGCAATGTAAGCCTTATTAAAATCACAAACATATATAATAACATAATAATGTAAATTGCACTCCTCAATTAATTTACATTTTTTACCATTACACATATCAAACATTTTGAAATATATGATCGAATAGGATAAAGAGTTTAATATGTAACAATCGTTGAACTTCCATAATGAATACAAGTGTATTTTATGTCCTCAGGTTGGTCAATTACATTAAGAGTTGGTTGAATGGAGAAAAATCATTAAAATGTTTCCCCTCTAGAAAGATACATTAAAACTATATGCATGGTTATAAACCTACTAATCTCAAAAGGAAGATGGTAGATATAAAGGATTTTGCTGTGCAGTGTGATAGATGATTCAAATGGAGGTACATACCTACAAAGGAGAGGTATGAAAAAATAACAGCAGATATATTGGAACATCCCTTCTTATATGAAGGCTCTCATGAGATACATCTACATAAGATTGGACGATACACATGATATCACTCAAAAAGAAAGAAAATTGTGGGCTTTTGATAAGCCTAGATTCCACAATTAGCTTTCAAGTTGAATGACATCATGTGTATCATCAGATGATATATTAGCACGCCACTCATGTGTTTCTTCACAATAAAAGGGATGTTCCAGCATGTGTATCCTTATCTTTTCATATATCACCTTTGCAGGTACGTATACTCATTTAAAACATCTACCACACAACACAATGAATTTCTCTTAATCTACTACTTGTTTTTGTAGGTTTGTAGGTTTAATATAATGCAAATTATTTTGATCTATCTTTCTAGGGGTGAAAACTCCATTCATCAGACTCTTGTTCTGATCAATAAACACGAGGACATAAAAATATAATTTGTATTCATTAGGGAACTCCACCGGCATTTAAAAAAGGCGCAACATAAAAAAGTCTATTATCTTATTTAATCATATGTCTTAATAAAATTTATACGTGTTTTAAATAAAAGTAGAACCGATATATACATATATTATAAGAGTTTATAACTTAGCATTAGCTAACAAATCCCATAGCTCCT